TATATATATATAAGTTATATTGGTATAAGGCAAAATGTATTGTCCTTAAAAGAATGTTTTATTTAATTGACCTCATCAATTTCTCTCCAAAAAAAACAAAACTAACAATGATACAGATATTCACTAATATCTTTCATCCCTACTTAAATCGTCTAAAAGATTTGAGCTTTAGTGTGATTTGTTTATATGTATATGTTTGCATATAGTCAGAATGTGTTGTGTCCCTAAAATTGGTTTTCCCCATTTTCTCTCCAGTAATGTTGCCCCGCAGCCTGCGTATTCGTACTATCCTGACGATGAGTTCCAGCATTTCTACCGCTGGACGTCTCCGCCGGGCATCATAAAGATCATGTGTGTCATGTCGGTCATCTTCTGCGTGGGCATCTTCGTGTGCGTGGCCTCGACTCTGGCCTGGGACACGGATGCAGGAGCGGCTGGATTCGGTGGTTACGGAGGCTCATATGGAGGTTCTTACGGAGGTTCATACGGTGGCTCATACGGTGGCTACGGGGGAACCGGCTACGGGGGAACCGGCTACGGAATGGGTGGATATGGAGGCTATGGTTACGGGATCCTCGGCTCTCAGAACGACCCCAGGCAGGGCAAGGGCTTCATGATCGCCATGGCCATCATCACCTTCATCGTCCTGCTCGTCATCTTCATCATGATCATCTCGCACCAGAAAGTGGCTCAGGGAAGGAAGTTCTACCTGGCCATCATCATCATCAGCGCCATCATGGCTTTCCTCATGTTAGTTGCCACCATAGTCTATCTGGTGACGGTTTACCCAATGGCCCAATCGTCCGGATCGGTTCAGTTCAATCAGGTTTACGCCATGTGCGCCGCTTACCAGCAGCCTCAGATGACGGGTGGGTTCGTGAACCAGTATCTGTATCACTACTGCGTGGTGGATCCTCAGGAGGTGAGCACAGCGTTGTAAATAATGGCCGATTTAAGTCGTTGTGCACTAATAGTGAGCTTATTCTGTCTTCATCCAGGCAATCGCTCTTGTTTTGGGCTTCATTGTCACCGCGGCCCTCATCATCATCATGGTTTTTGCCATTAAAACCCGTCAAAGGATCAATAATCATGGGAAGGACAACATCCTGTGGCGCCGCGTGAAAGAAATGAATGATCAAAACTCGCCGCAGGATGTAGAGGATTGGGTGAGTATGATATTATTGTTCTTTGCATTGCTAGCTGAAGTACAGTCAAACCAAAATGTATTCAGACACCTTCAACATTTCTCACATTATCACAGTTTATTCGGGTCGCTGTGATTTTGCCAAGTAAGATCAACATTACTGTCCAAAAATATAGACTTAACCCAATCCCTACCCCTAAACCTAACCCTACCCATAATTTATTCCTAAAATCAGTGGGAAATGATAGCTGATTAACAAGGGTGTAGAAGCACCTAACCCAGATCGTAAGCCTAAAACAGATATTTCCTGAAAAACTATCCCTCAATTCTGATTGGAATGTTGTTCCAGGATAAACAAGGATGTTGATCCAGGAACATGTTGTACTTCACGTTCACCGTTTATTCGCTATAGTTTTGAAAATGGTTATTAAATATGACGAACTCGAGAGTTAAACTGTGTCCAAACAAATTCATCTTGATAATGTCATGTAACAAAACATGGTCAGGTCATAGTGTCAGATCTAATTTTTAGTCCCAAATTTTTACTGATAGTCCACTGTATGAAGAATTTTTGGATATAATGTGTCACAGTTTCTACTTGACTTGATTGCAGACGTTTGTATTTTGGCAAATCTGAGCACAGTTTGAGACACTGGTGAGATCTCTTGTGAAACTCGAGAGGAGACACATGTGAGGTTGATATACGGGGCTAGATTCTCAAGAGGAAATATCAGGAATATTGTGATCTCCAGCCCTAGAAAAGTCATTGAAATTCTTACAATTAGAATGAATGAATTATAAATAAATGGGTCAAAGACGAAAAAGCATAAAAACAATGTGTAATACTGCTTTAAATTGTTGTCGTTTTTCCCCCCAAATATTTAAATATTTTCTGTTTAATTTAATTGCAATTTAGTTTTTCGGAGTAAAAAATAAATATCATACGTTTTTCCCTGATTTATAGAAGAGACCCACTAAAATGTCATTCAGCGTGACAATCTTGTCAGGCATATTTACAACAAAAATCAATTTATGACATATTAAAAGACTAATTACTTTCACCCCAAATACTAATTAGTTGTAATTTTACATTTTTAAAATTTGCCACTATCCTAGGTTTTGCCCATTTGTCAGTAAGAATTTTTTACTCATTTAAAACACAAAATTTAATATGCTCCTTTATTCTTTTATATATTTTAATATGTGGAAGTCAGAATAAGCATGTTGTTCAAAAACTTATTTGAAACCTTAAAAGTAGACACTTTACTTGCATTCAATGTGCTTTCTATGGACATAAAATCCCTTTTGTACATTTCTTTTGATGCGGACATCTTAACGTCTTTGACCCAAATACAAAATTAGTAAATTAAATTATAAATAAAAAATACAATTAAATTATTTTTAAAAATATTAATGAGTCATTAATTTGAGTATAAAATTAATATAAAATCTGGTAATGTCCATTTAATTGGCTAGAAATAGCTTTTCAGGAGTATAATCTCTAAAAAAAAAAAAAAAAAAAACTTAGTCATGGAAATGCGGTGTAAAAACGACTTTTTTAAAATGTATTTTGAAGTTGTAAATAAGACCAATTGGAGCACATTTTACAAGAAAGCTCTGTTTTAATCTTTTAAATTTCATGTTTAATTCAACGTGTTACTTGCTGTTTCTTTGTAATTATTTGTGAAATTTCTGAGTGAATTTTGTATTTTTTTTTTCAAACTAAATCCTACACAAATGTTTTTCAGTATGGAAGATTTGTGCGAATATATATATATATATATATATATATATAGGTCAAAAGATGCAGGAACACTGAAAATCCGAGAAACTGAGGTCTCATTTGCTCTCCATTTAATGGTGCAGGAATGACAATTAAGATATTGGAGATTATTTGTGATTTTTAGTGGTCACTCAACTACAAGCCTTTGTCCTAGAACTTATAGTCGTATACTGTGACTTTAAAGGACTATAATTTGGTCTTTTCCACACAGAAGGTCTATTCTACTCAAGATGGAGCATATAGCTTAAATTCTACACCTGTACTCATTTCTGTTGCCAAACAAAGAGTTATTTCACTTCCTCCAGCCTCCTCACAGCATGAACCCGTTTATCTCTCACAGGAATCGTCTGTCTGGTTTTGAATATATGAGGCCTGCGTGGTTTTCTATAGCTTTTACCGTGCTGAAGGTGGAAAGACCTGTTTGTGTGTGTCTGTGTCTGTGTGTCTGTGTGTGTGTGTGTGTGTGTGTGATGGTGGTTGGGGGAGGGAAGCGCTTGTCGTTGGTTTCTGGGTGTGGTTTGTTGTGACAGTTTCACTCACATATATGTGCTAGACATGTTAATGGTCCTAAAGAGAGACTTTTCTTTATGCAAAAAGTCTGTTTTTAATATTTTGCTAAATCTTTTTAGTTTTTTTTTAATTTTGGGCCATTTTGGTAGATATTCAGTGGATGAATGTAAATAAATAGCTTTTTATGGCATACAGATGTATAATGTTTTAAATCTGATATTTTAAGATCAGTTTTTATTAAAAGATGATTGTTGGATCTGAATAGAACATCAAGACATTTGGGTTTCTAAGCAGACATAGATGCTTGTGTGTTTATTTTGTTCAATGCTCAAGGCGAACTGGTTCAACCAGAAACTCAAACCTATGTGCAGCAAAAGGGATGTGTTTTTGGGACTGCGCTTCATGTTAAATCAGACTGTGATTCTAGAAAAGTAGCTAGAAAAGATGTGTGGAGAAGATTCTTCTATAGTATTTGTTGACTCCCTCAGGATAGACGCGTTGAAACATGTTGAAGCACTGAAAACTGACAGCACCGTTTGAGTGAATCTCACAAAAACTGTCCAGAAATGTAAACTTATGACACTTCGTGATTCTTAAGAAATCCTCCTGATGATATACATAATGTATATATTTTTTTATTACTGTAATAAAGGGAACATAATGCAATTTGTAAAGTGCAGGTTTAATGTAACCTATTTTAAATAAATAAATATTATGGACTGATTTTTCATTTATTTATTTTAACAGATTTTATTTTTTATTATTTATCTATATTTTTAATCGCTTTATTTTCACATTAAAATAATGAGAATAACGAGAATTGTTCTGTCAATAATGTCCCAATGCAAACATATCTTAATGCTGTCTGTCTCAGGTGAATAATGTGAACGGAGCGCCTGAGCCGCTGCTGGCGGACTATCCCATGAAGTTTGGAGGGTCTAGAAATGATCTAGATGACAACAGCACAAACTATGACAAACCTCCCCACAGTGAGAGTCCTGTGTGAGTACGGCCATCATGTGACTGAGAGTTTGGCTTTCAACACACTGCATCTGATTTTGATCTGTTTTTAAAAGTCTGATTTTAGGACTGATTGTTCATTCTGACGTTTTAAGTGTTGAAAGCAGATCTGTGTGTTCTGACAGTGTACTAAGTGTATCTATATACTGGAATTTTATTATTATTATTATTATAAAAATTACTACATATCTATTTTAATAAGAACATTATTATTATTATTATTATTATTATTATTATTAAAAAACGTATTAATATTATTAAAAAATAGCATAACACTAGAAGAAATATGATTGTGTAAATTTGAATTTCAAAATATAATTAATTTTTTTCAAATCTATCTACATTTATTTATTATTCTGTATTGAGGTACAACATTATTACTATTATTATTATTATTATTAAAATTTGCATAAATACAGTACAAGACATGATTATGATGTGTTAATTTGAATGTAAAAATATACAAATTATTTAGAAAAATATTAAGTAAAACGTTTGAAAAAAAATTTTTTTTTTTGTGCTGTCAAACGATTAATCGCGATTAATCACATCCAAAATAAGTTTTTGTTTACATAATATGTGTGTAATGTGTATATTTATTATGTATATATAAATACACACATGTATGTATATATT